GGCATTTAGGTAATATGGGAGATGCAGGAGAATCTAATAAGGTTTCTTTCCACCTCCTAAGGTACTGGGAAGATGAATTCATGAGTTGGAACATAGAATACAAAATTTAAAAGACCACAATTTAGAATTGGATTCACGGCTTTAAACCAGTATTGTCTGCATTGTAAAGGTGATTAAATGGGAAAAAGGGGGGTAATTTTCCACTTGTTTCTAAAGTATATAGGTTCTATCTGAAGAAAAAAAAAGATTCTTTTATGGAATCTAATAACAAAATGGCAGTCACTTTAAGACCTAAAATATGATTTCAGTGCTTGGCTCAGAGAGTTGGTAAATGTGCCATTTTACGTTGGCTGACACCTCTGTGCAGAGTTCCAGAAGAGTCACATTCAGTCACATTCAGTCACAGCTTTGGCAGATTGCTATCACCCAGAGACCTTTTTATAAGACCAAAATTGATCAGTGCAACGTGAAACCCACCACATTATTGGATCACGTAGGTGAACCCAGTGGTCTGGAGCTTTATGAGGTAAAACCTACTTCCAAGTTTAAATACCTGCCACCCTGAGATGAATGGAAAAATAAAAACTACCTTCTTCCAGACTTAGAATAATCCATTCTTATTGGATAAGAAATTGCAGGTAAATTACCCTGTTCTCAGAATAGGGTACTTATAAGGTTTTGTCTGTATAACGAATTAAGGAAATTAATTATCTAACATCACTAGTATTGTGGATATCTTCGGATATTCTCTTTCTGGAAGACTATACTCATATTTCAAGAGTCAGTGGATAAGAAGGGATATCAGTGGTTAGTATATGCTATTATTTGGAAAGGAAACACCTTTTTGTTTCATTTCAAAGATTTCAGGAGCCTAGATTATACACACTACCATTGAAATAAAAATGTAAAATATTAATAATTAGCTCTGAGGTGAGTTAGCTGACCTTAGTTAGAAGATCATTTAAAATACTATGGCTCCTTTTCAGAGGGATTGAAAACATTTTTTCTAATACCCTATTTTGCATCATTTAGGTTGGTTCTGAAGAACAGTTTCCTGTGACACGTAAACCTATTATCATCTGAGAATTATAATTTTAATTCTTCATAAAAATGCAAAGAGACATGAAAAGTGTTTGAGAGAAAGAGAATATTAACATGAGAAATCAACCTGAGAAGCAACTCGTTTGAACCATGGTATGATATCTGATTCCTAAAACTTCTCTAAACATAATTTCCATCATTTAATGACTCAGGTAAAACAGAAATATCATTCCACTTGGAACTTTTTTTTGTTATAAAATATAATGATAGTTTTGAACAGTACTATGTGGTATAAACTCTTTTAAGCCTCTTCTAGAAAATGAAGAGAATCTTTCTTAATTAGACATTTCTAAGAAGAATGGTATTTCTTGGAAATTACATTTCCTACTAAAGCCTGTATTTTCCCTCTCCTTCTTCTGCAAACTTGATTCTAATTATCATCATTAAAATTTTTCTCATTCACTTATTAAAAACCTTGTATTTAGTGCTTCTTATATGCAAGGCCCTCTACCAGACATAATTGAGAATATGGCAGCTCCTTTGCCTCTTCTTATCTTGAGATTATAGCAACTGTAGGAGAAGAAATTTAAAAAGAGGGCAAAGTGAAAAGAAAATAATAAAGTTTCATGAAGGAGTCTATTTCATGCTGGTGTGGACAAACTCTCTTGAGTCCCTGCAGTGTAAAATCCTATATACAAATGAAAGTGAAATGAAAAATTTCATTTATTTATGTCTGCGAAAATTTGATTAGTATTTGAAATATTAAAATAATGCAATGCATATGGGAAGCAATTTTGAGTAGTAGCAGCAACATATGTTTGAAATGCATACTTATAACCCATTGCAAACAGTATGAATAGGCCATATTTCTTTACAGGAATAAAATATCTGAATAAAATATAAGGAAAAACCTAAATGAAAAGAATAAGATATAAAAGAAAGAAAAGCAAATGAGGAAAGTCATTATGCCAAGGATGAAACAGCAATTTGTATTTTGTTATCTGAATTTTTAAAATATTATTTCTATTTAAATATTCCTATCGATCTTCTATCAATCTGAAGACTTCTATTAATCTGAAAAGTCATGAAATTTAAAAATCTTTACAACTGGAAAGGCTTCAAGTTTAATCTTGTCCAAATTTCTTGTTATTTCATATGAAGAATTGAGACTGGAATTTAGTTAATTCTGTCTTTTTCCACCATCAGAGCTTGAAGTAACTCAACTGAATTCAAGCTTGGATTTTTTTTTTCCCCAGATGAGATCTGAGATTTAGGATTCACATGTGAAAAGTAAGACACAAAAGCAATCTAGCAATCTACTGGTGCTGAGGACAAAGCAGTGACAGAATTTGATACATTGGGCAACGGAGGCTATTTCTTTTATTTTAATCACAAGTTGACATTAATATGAAAGGTAAAGGGTTGGATTTTTGTCTGTATGCATGTATTTATAAATGCTCTAGTCACTGGTATCCTAACTTGAATAATTGTTGAGTACTTTTCTGGGGTTGAGAGTTTGATGTGGTTGAATGGAAATTCACTGAGATAAAACTGTATTACAATGATTGTCAGGGGAGGCCCCTTTTGCCATTATACAAATGAGCCAAACACTAGAAAATAGCTCCAGTACATCTGCTTATAATGGTGTTTGGCATTTGAAACAAGATTATTTGGATCATCTGTGATATCTTAACAATGATCCAGTCCCCAGCTTGTTCATAATTCAAGCCTTTCAGTATAGAAATATTAAACTTGTTGTTTGTGCAGAAATAAATAGTATGTAAGCTTTATTTTTACTCTGAAATGAACATTGTAAATAATTCTAAATGAAGTTCTTTTTTTTTCCAGTCATACACTCTGAATTTCCTGGGTACAGCAAGTAAAGAGACTTTACTAGGATGCAGGCTCTACTGCAAAGTCAACATTTTTTGTTTGGTTATAAAACATAACTATTAGAGATTGAGATGAAGAAACAGGAACCTTTACCTGATCAAAGAGTTAACACCATTTAAACAAAAACAACTCAGAAGTTAAGATTTTCCAAAAGAAAATAATGACAGTCAGTTAGTTTGTAAATAATACAGGTATAAATCCAGTCTTTGACTCTAATCTTGGGCAAGTACTCTTGGTTCATAACTGAACCCACATTGATAGTTCCCCTTCTTTGGCTCATCCTGAGAAACTCCTGGGGCCCCCCAGATATACTATAAAAGAATCTCTGGGGACAAGGTTTTTATTTTAAATATATATTTATATATATAGCTTTATATATTTTTTAATATCTTTATTGGAGTATAATTGCTTTACAGTGGTGTGTTAGCTTCTGCTTTATAACAAAGTGAATCAGCTATACATATACATATATTGCCATATCTCCTCACTCTTGTGTCTCCCTCCCACACTCCCTATCCCACCCCTCTAGGTGGTCACAAAGCACCGAGCTGATCTCCCTGTGCTATGCGGCTGCTTCCCACTAGCTATCTATTTTACATTTGGTAGTGTATATATGACAATGCTACTCTCTCACTTCATCCCAGCTTATCCTTTCCCCTCCCCATGTCCTCAAGTCCATTCGCTATGTATGCGTCTTTATTCCTGTCCTGCACCTAGGTTCTTCAGAACGATTTTTTTTTTTTTAGATTCCATATATATGTCTTAGCATATGGCATTTGCTTGTCTCTTTCTGACTTATTTCACTCTGTATGACAGACTCTAGGTTCTTTCACCTCACTAAAAATAACTCAATTTAGTTTCTTTTTATGGCTGAGTAATATTCCATTGTATATATGTGCCACATCTTTAACCATTCATCTGTCGATGGACACTTAGGTTACTTCCATGTCCTGGCTATTGTAAATAGTGCTGCAATGAATATTGTGGTATATGACTCTTTTAGAATTATGGTTTTCTCAGGGTATATGCCTAGCTTTATATTTTTAAAAGTTTTTGATGATCTATCAAATGTGGGGACCACTAGTCTGGGTGAAACATTTTAATCAAAATAGGATTTAGAAGAACAGAGATGGAAATCAATTTCTTTTTTTTTTTTTTTTTGCAGTATGCAGGCCTCTCACTGTTGTGGCCTCTCCCGTTGCGGAGCACAGGCTCCGGACGTGCAGGCTCAGTGGCCATGGCTCACGGGCCTAGCCGCTCCGTGGCATGTGGGATCTTCCCGGACCGGGGCACGAACCCACATCGCCTGCATCGGCAGGCAGACTCTCAACCACTGTGCCACCAGGGAAGCCCGAAATCAATTTCTTATAGAATGAAAATCTTTCAAATATAATGGGAGCTCAGTATATTAAGGAACATCAGTATGGAAAGGTAACTTATTTAATAATTTATTGTCCCATGAGCTTCACTGGGTTGATAGTGTTGGGGTTTGTGTAGAATAAAAAGTTTTCTTACAATAGAGTCTATTTGCTCTGGATCCTGTCACCTAATGAATGAAACTCTGACATCTTAGTGAAGAAATTTTACATAAATTAAATCAAATTATAACTCAGGCTCATCCAGTCCTCCAATTTATGGCCTTGCAAGGTGACTTGGTTTGTGTTTGCTTTGGTGTGCCATAAACTTTTGACTAAAGATAAAATACTAAATATGTTATATCTATTTTATGCCTGATTTGTTTGTATCCAGGAATTTTACAAAACAACGATTATTCCAGATTCAAGGTGACTTTGAAATGAATTCATTCAATAAACATTTATTAAATCTGTGCCAGGCCTTAATTTGTCTGATAAAGTAAAGCTCTTTTATTAGTTTAGTATCCATTAAAAGTATCACAAATCATGTATTGATTTTTTTTATACACATATTAAAAATATCAGGTAACAAAATGTGTTAGAAATGGGCTGATGCAGTTGTTAAGTATGAAGTACCAGGAATGCACAACTGGCTCCTTAGTCTTATTTCTGTTAAGTTCAAAGTCATTTATTGCACGGTTGTGATGTTCAAGGCATCAGTTAAGTGTGAGAGATACAAATGTGGACCCTGCATTCTATGAGCTCACAATTTAAAGTGAAAATATCAATAGCCTAAAGAGCTGGTATTTGTGTCTCTTCAGCATATCACAAATTATCTACTGATTTTAAAAAATAAAAATGAACATATTCCATTGGAAAAAAGTCTAAGGAATCTTTAATGGAAAATATGAAGATGATATATTAAAAATGTTGGGCTTCCCTGGTGGCGCAGTGGTTGAGAGTCCGCCTGCCGATGCAGGGGACACGGGTTCATGCCCTGGTCTGGGAAGATCCCACACGCCGCTGAGCCTGCGCGTCCGCAGCCTGTGCTCCGCAATGGGAGAGGCCACAGCAGTGAAAGGCCTGCGTACCGCAAAAAAAAAAAAAATAAGTAAAAAAATAAATAAATCATGTTATATGTTGTATAATTGTAGAAGACCTAAGAACAACATTTTATTCAATGTAGTCAGCATTATTTTTAAGATGGCTTTGACTTTTGTCAGATCTGAGAGCTACATTTAAGAATTTAACTTGCACATTTACATATATATTGAGGTCAGAGCTCCTAGAATGCCTGCATCCTGCTGACAAAACCAGCTTTTAATAATGATCTTGTATCACCTCCATAAGTAATTATACTTGCTCGAGATTCAATTTGACAAAACGTACGTTTACTGTACAGCTATTGTGCTATAGTAAGATTCAAGTATTGGTGGATATGTTTTATAATTTCTTACTGTGTTTTACCCATATTTGATTTTTTATGACTTCAAATATCAATTGAGGAAAAAGAGATATATTGGGCTGGCCAAAATGTTTGTTCAGTTTTTTCCATAAGATCTTCCTCAAACTAGTTTCAGTTGTTCAAAAAATGTGTTTCTAGTTTACTAAGTCCCATTCCTCATGCCATTGCCAATATTGCTATGACTCAAAATTTAAGTAAAAATCACAATTCAGCTGGGGGATCCCCTATCAAGAACCAGAACATTCCATGGCCAGCAGAAATCCAAAGATTGGTGCAAAGTTTCAAAGAATTATGGCCTCATCTGACACCCCTTTGCCTCTATCTTCACATATATGCATTCTCTGTGCTATGTCATGTTGCTCTAGATAGGAGATTCAACAATATATTAGTTGCAGAAACAACAAAAATGAATACATATACAATAACAACATGAAATATTTGTGAATATAGAAAACTTTTCCAAAAATTTAAAGAGAAAGAGACAAAGAAATGGTTACCTTCACCCTAATTTCCTAATCTCTCACTGGGAGGCTCTCTCTCCTTCAGTCTCATCCATGTTCTTTCAGTGGAGCCAGTACCATCCCTAAGTAGAGGGATCTCACGCTCCTGGATGGAGTGGCCATAAGAAAGATCAGCATATTATCAGGTTTAAAGAGACAAATGAAGATTTTGACTGGAAAGACTCTTGGCTGCAGTGTTTCAACCTGGAAACGCCTAGAAGCCATCTTGTGATGACAGGGAAATGAAAACAACACAGGTGGAAAAGAATGAAGAAATACGTCTTGCTTACCTAGTTCAAGGCCTGAGTCCAGTCAATCTGTTTTTTGACTTGCAATTAAGGGAGGCAGTGAATTTTGGTTTGTTTCTTAGCTTCTTTTGCCACTTGCACCTGAAAGACTCCTAATTGATAGAAAGACTGGAGACATTGTCAATTATGTGATCCATTGTCTCATATAAAATTAATGTGAAAATATCTTTAAAGAATTCATAGGCAGGGAAAAATTCTTCTTTCATGCTGAGCTTCCTTAGTTAAGGTAATGTGAATTAGATAATATACCATATTTCAATATTTTTTTAGTTACCATAATTAAAGCAATTGCTTAATTTTCTGCCCCCATACAATAAAAAACTTTGGCTCGGTTGGAGTACTGTCATCTTTCCACCGTCTTATTTATTTCCCCATTATATTTTATTTTTATTTTAATATTCTCTCTGTGTCATTGTCTTTCACTGAAAGCCATTTTAATGGCATGTTTTTTTAATTTTTCAGAATAAAATAGAATAAATCATCTAAATTTCTCCATCATTAGATAGGAAACCCTCCTGTAGAAATGCCGTTTGCCATAATATCAAAGCTTTGCATTGAATAACGAACATTCTGAATTAATAAAATAACACTGGTATAATTTAACAGATAATCAGATTGTTAAGGCTTTCCAGGAAGTTACTCAGAATTATAGGAATGGGACCAAAAGATGACTCTGTACAAAATTCATTCATTGGTTTTAAATTAATAAATCAAAGAAAACATACTTTCTTTTTTAATGATTAATTTTTATATTGCCATTGAACTAGTGAATGTACATTATATACAATATAAGTATACATGTATATGTATGCATATATATATATACATATATATGTATATTCACATACCCCTCTATCCCACATAGATAATTGGTTTTTATTTTTCAAACCAATGAAAGAATAAAAACATACCACAAGGAAAAATAAATTTTAAAGAATATCTGGTTTCTCTTCTGGCCTCTCTTAACTGTCTATACTAAGGAGGCAGATAACAGTGGAAGGTGATTCTGAAATAACAATACTGATTTCAGACTTACTTCCAGGACGATAGAATAATTTCCCCATCTCTCACTGTGCTGATAGATAAACCTAGATGGTGTAAGCAGTGTCTAAAATCCTAAACTGAAGGGGAATAATGTGATTCAAGCAACCAGAAACACAGTAATGTATGAGTAAATTCAGCCCAAGGAAGAAATTTGCTGAAATAATAAGAAGATGTTCAATGGATCAAAGAATACACAGAAGAACTAGAACTTCTACAAAACGGGGCCCTGTTCTAAGGACCTATTAGAAATAAATGGGCAACAATTCCCTTTGGGGACCGGCAGAAGTGATGAATGGGCAGCATTTATCTACCTTATGCCTCCCAGATACAGACTGATGATTCCTGGAGAGTCTGAGGTCTACACTTCACTCACTCACTCACTCACCCACTCTCGGTTATGGGAGTTGAGACTCTGGTTGGCAATGACTTGAAGAGCACAGACACTGGGAGAGGCTGTTTCTCAAAGGAATACCAGGGAGCTGCTTCCAAAAGACATGGAAACGGATATTAATTGGGCCAAAAATATAATGTCCACTACACAGAATGGGCTGAAATCCAAATCAGCTTAGAAGGAGAGAGGTAGTAAGAAGCTGATTGACAAGATAAAGAAAGGTAAAGCCATCAACTCAAGTAAAATAATCTGAGAATGTTTATACACTCTTTCCAAAGACAGGTCCTAAGTTGTAGCTTATGATACTGTGTTTGTGAATAGTTATTTCAAAGGGGAGAACAAGTCAATTCTTTTATCCTTTCCAAGTTTCCTAGATAGGGAAGCAAACACACTGTAATCTTTTTCAAACAGTCAAGCCTAGATTGGCTTTGCTTTCTTCTGACCCAGTCGGTGATACCCATTTTATCCATTTATATAGCTTCTTAAGCTTTTACCTCTTTATCTGCTGTGTATAAGATAGTTTGCTGCTCTGTGTGCTTAGCGCCAGATGTTTCTTCCTTTTACCCTGAGTTGCACAGATATACACATGTATTTGAGGTGGTAATATTTTAATGATTATTTCTATTAATGGGCTGCAAGTGCCTTCTACAAGGTTCTTTTTAAAGAATGGATCCCAGTCCTAACATGCATCTTGGAATTTGAAACCTAGAAATGTATAGAATTTACATTTATATGACAAGGCATTAGTTCTTCGTCATCTGATTTTAATAATTTCAAGACAATGATATGTCACAATATTATCAGGAAAGTAATTTTTGGTGAGTCAGTCTGTCTTGTTACTGATTCTTTTCCCTAATAATTAAATGAAAGGAGTCATAACACATTTTTCTATTGAATACATGAAGTTCATTGCTTTATTTGTGATTTACCAGTGGTTTTAGTATATTCACAACGTTGTACAACTATGGCCACTATAATTCCAGAACATTTCCATCACTTTAAGAAGAAACTGCATACAAATTGTAAATTTTTTTGTTCTAGTTCTGTGAAAAATGCCATTGGTAATTTGATAGGGATTGCATTGAATCTGTAGATTGCTTTGGGTAGTATAGTCATTTTCATAATATTAATTCTTCCAATCCAAGAACACAGTATATCTCTCCATTTGTTTGTGTCATCTTTGGTTTCTTTCATCAGTATTTATAGTTTTCTCCATACAGGTCGTTTTCCTCCTTAGGTAGGCTTATTCCTAGGTATTTTATTCTTTTTGTTGAAATGGTAAATGGTATTGTTTCCTTAATTTCTCTTTCTGATCTTTGGAAAACAGTATGGAGGTTCCTTAAAAAAACTAAAATTAGAATTACCATATGACTCAGCAATTACACTACTGGGCATATACCTAGAGAAGACCATAATACAAAAAGACACATGTATCCCAATGTTCATTATAGCAGTATTTACAATAGCCAGGATATGGAAGCAACTTAAATGTCCATTGACAGAGGAATGGATAAAGATGTGGAACATATATACAATGGAACATTACTCAGCCTTAAAAAGGAATGAAACTGGGGCATTTGTAGAGATGTGGATTGACCTAGAGAATGTCATACAGAGTGAAGTAAGTCAGAAAGAGAAAAACAAATACTGTATATTAACGCATATATGTGGAATCTAGAAAAATGGTATAGATGATCTAACTTGCAAAGCAGAAATGGAGACACAAGGCTTCCCTGGTGGCACAGTGGTTGAGAATCTGCCTGCCAATGCAGGGGACACAGGTTCGAGCCCTGGTCTGGAAAGATCCCACATGCCGTGGAGCAACTAAGCCCGTGCACCACAGCTACTGAGCCTGCATGTCTGGAGCCTGTGCTCTGCAACAAGAGAAGACTGCGACAGTGAGAGGCCTGTGAACCGCGATGAAGAGTGGCCCCCGCTCGCCGCAACTAGAGAAAGCCCTCGCACAGAAACAAAGACCCAACACAGCCAAAAATAAATAAATAAATAAGTAAATTAAAAAAAAAAAAGAAATGGAGACAGGTGTAGAGAACAAATATATGGATACGAATGGGGAAAGGGCAGTGG